ACAAGCAGAAGCACACAGCAGTCAATGTCTACCAGCGCTTTGGAGACGTACCACATACACCACCAGTACAGCGGAAGGGTCGCTCTCGGACACCACCATCCCGAGGGCTACATGCACACTCCTTCCAACCGTTTCACCCTCCGGAGCAGGCACTCGCTCCGATGACACCAGGGGACAAAACATTGACCCTTGGCGCACCTTTGGCACTACCACCACACTCTGAGGCCTTGCACACTGAACCAGCATCTCTTCATGAAGTACAACCTCACGAAGAACAAGGCGCAACAGAGGTGATGGAAGCACCGCACACAGAGACTGAGCAACAGTCGCACACAGAACAACTGGTTCCACCACCAGTACCTGAGCACACAGAAGCACAACAGATGCAAGAAGCAGAGCAACAAGCAGTTGAGCAAACAACAGCATCCGCGGCAGATGAAGAAACACTGGCACCAGCACGGATGAGACAACACTGCCTACCTTGCCGCAGAAACGACCTTTTGACTCACTGCACACGACACTGTGGTCCGAGGAAGACGGCGCAATCACACGGGCACCGTCAGGATGGGATGGCTCACCCCCACTCCTTTCCTATGGACCAGCATCGCAACAGTGCTTCAAAGCATATGCAGCCACACACCAACGACAAAAGGACACAGCGCCAATAGACAAAGATCCCAATGAGTCAGACAGCACCCAGGGATCAAGTGATGAAGGCAACACCACAAGCAAAGCACACCAGCAGAAGACCATGACTCGACAGGAGTCCAAGCAGATGGATCGAGAGATCCCTTGGCGGCAGATTCTTCAACTTCCACCGGCCATGATCGACAAGTACCTTGCGGCCATTGACGAAGAGGCCCTGTCTTGGGAAGAGTGGCGATCCATCCGTCCGCTCACACGGGAGGAAGCCTTGGCAGTCTACAAGGACAAGATGCTTCGACATCGCATCATGAGATCCCGTGCCCTCTACCGGGACAAGAACTGTGGCCAAGGTGAGTTGAAGGCCAAGTGCAGAGTGGTTTGTCTGGGCCACCAAGACCCTGATCTCCAGCAGATCACAAGAAGCTCACCAACTCCAGGAAGAGTCACAGAGATGGTTCTCTACTGCCTCATCGTGGCTGGTCACAACCGCGAGCTCTTTGACACCGACCACGAATGGGTGTCTTGGTCAGGAGACGCTGCAACGGCATTCCTCCAAGGCAAACAGGAGGACAGTGAACGACCAGCTCCACTATACATGAAGGCTCCAGCTGATGGCTTGATCGAGTGCGAGCTCTACCAGATCCTGGGCAACGTCTACGGCCTAGCGAATGCTCCAGCTCTCTGGACAGGTGAATTGTTGGGGCTGGGCTACACCAGACACGTCTTCGACCAGATGCTCTTCTACCTGGTCAACGAGGCTGATCAGATTGTCAGCCTGGTGATGATTTATGTGGATGATTTTTTGGGTCTCCACAGGAAAGACCATGACATCTCGGCACTGCTGTGGGGCGAGATCCACACCTTCAGCCCCGACAGCAAGATCACCTTCAAAGGCAAGACCTTGGAGCTGAAGAAGAATGAAGCTGGGCGCTATGTCATGGACATCACGATGGAGAAGTTCATCCAAGGCCTTTCGCCAGGAGTCATCCCTAAGGGCAGGCTTCAAGAAGATGAGCTGCTGTCACCAGCTGAGTTTCAGGAGTTCCGGTCAGTATCCGGTTGCTTGCAGTGGGCTGCAACTCAAGCTCGACCTGAGGTCGCACCAGCACTGAGCTTGGCAAATCATGTGGCACTCACAACCATCCATGATCTCCGCAGCCTCTATGAGTCCCTCTCCTACCTCAAAGAGACGCCCTCTGAAGGCATAAGGATTCAGGACGTGGGTGTGGGCAAAGCAACGTGGGTCCTCACGTTCACGGATGCCTCATGGGCTAACGCCCAAAGAAGTGGAAGCCAGATCGCAGTGATCACTGGCTTGACCTCTGAGGAGTGCAAGGTTCGACCAGTTCCCTTTGCACTTGTGGACTGGCGCTCGGCTCGGAGCGCTCGTGTTTGCCGCTCCACCTTGGCGGCAGAGGCATGCGCTGGCGATGAGGGCAGCGACCGCGGGAGCTACCTGAACATGTTCCTCAGCGAACTGACGCATAGGTGTCCTGCTCACCAGGCAGGCTTGAGGTTGAACTACCTCCAAGCCACAGACTCGAAGAGTTTGTATGACGCTGTGGTACAGCCCAATCCGTCACTGACGGATCGCCGCTCGTTAGTGAATGTGAGGGCCACGCAGGAAACCCTGACCCCTTTGAACATGCATTGGGTCCCCACATGGCTGCAGTTTTCGGACGGCCTCACGAAGGCCAGTTCAGTGCTCAGAGCCACTTTTCGTAAGTGGTTGACCGCACCTTTTGCGGCGCTGGCAGATCACGCTGATTTGCAAGAGTGGAAGGCAGGTCTAGGAACCACGAAAAAGAAAAAGACCAGTGACAATTCAGAGCAAGCATTTTGATGCACCCATGTTCGTGGTTCCAGGATCCGCGAGCCATTTGTTTCCTTCGCGCTCACCTCGGTGTGCGGAAAACCGTGTTCGACCGTGCGCAGCGCATGGCCTTGTTAAGAGTAGCTAAGCGCATTACGTGCATGACTAGTAGTAGCTAGAGGCTAG